GAATAGTTAAGCCAAGTAGAACAGCTTCACCAGGCAAGCAGGAGGGATTCCCCCTGCCCCCAATTTCTGTGGCCCACCACCTGGGCAGCAGGAGATCCCTCCTCACATCCCTTCTCTTCATCAAGCAGAGGGGGATATTCAGGGCTGGCCTTAAGGATAATCGTGCCCCTGGCCCACGCTGCCTCCCCATCCATCACCCTGGCCCCCACATCCATCCCCCCACTGCCCTTGTCTGCTGCTGCCTCCCCGGTCTCCCCACACATCCCCCCCATTGCCCCTGGATCTTGCTGCCTCCCCGGTCTCCCCACACATCCCCCCATTGCCCCTGGATCTTGCTGCCTCCCTGGGCTCCCCACCCCCAGGCTTGCTACCTCCCCTGCCCCATTGCACCACGCTCCCTTCTGCGACCTTGCGCCCCACTCCTGCCCCGCTCCTTGCCTCCTGCCTCTGGCAGCCGGAGAGCAGCAGCTGCTTGCCGGGAGCCCACAGATGCCAGGGCTATGTACTGCCAAGCCTAGAGGTGCCAATGCTCAGCCCTGGCAATCCCTGGCACAAATTAAGTGCTGATGTTTCCCCCCTGGGTGGTCACCCACCCGTAAGACTGGTCCTATTTTTATTTCTGTGAGGGAATCACAGGCTTCCTAGAGGGAATGAATGGTGCCCCTGCCCTGTGCATAAATCCACCCTCCATTTTGAAGCCAACTGACCCGTCCTTCTGATGCACATGGGAAATGTCCCATTTTTTAAGAAAGGGGCGAATAATCTAAAACCCCGTTTTGGTCCCTCTCTCTCTGGGCTCCCCTGAGTCTCACGCTGCTGGTGCATTCTCTGCTGCGCCCTCCTGCCCTCAGCATTCTGGTGGGGTGTCTTGGAACACAATGCCTCCGCTTGGTCATGGGGAGGGAAACCAGACCAGGCAAGGACAGGGTCTGCACAGCCAGGTTCGGGGCAGCAAAGCAAGTGGCCTCCAGCAGCCAGGCAGGAGTGGGGGGAAGGATGCCTGTCCTGGCCCCTGGAGCAAAGAGGCATAGTTGCCCTTGGAGACTGACAGGGAGAGACCGCGAGAAGCCCCTGGTGGGCGGAACCAGGAAGGCCACACCCATGGCGCCAGAAGCAGAGGGGCGGGGCAGGGACAGGAAGTATAAAAGGCGGGCCCTGCGGCCCAGTTGGGCTGGAGCTGCCAAGGGAGATGGATGTGTTCTCCCTACTGCTGGTGCAGGAGCCTGCAGAAGATGTCTGCTGCTAGACCTGGCTGATGCTGAGGAGCAGCTGGGATTGCCCCAGGCAGGGTATCCTGGGGAGGTGGAAGATGACCATGGGACTCAGGTACACCTTGAGGGGAGGGGAGGAAGTAGCTCTGGGACAGCTGATGGTAGTCAGGCTGTATTGCTGCCTGAAGACTGGTCACTGTGTTGTGGGTAGATCCCTGCTGACCCAGTAGTGGGACACTTTGCCACTGCCTGGGCCCTAGGGTGGGACCTGGGGAGTTGGGTGGGCCTGGTCCCCTTGCCACCTCACCCCTGGGGTGGTAGCCCCCCCCCTATGTTGGTCTCCTGTCTGCTGAGCTAGGGGCTGCAGACTGTTTGGTGCCTTGCCTGACCTGAGGGTTTGAGTCCTAGAGACAGCTCAATTCCCCCTTGTTTTAAGTGTGATAGTGAAGAGGTGTGGCTGCCCTAGGAGATTGACAGGGAGGGCTGGCCATGCATGTCCACATGCTTACAACCCCGTGATATTCTGGGGATGAGCACCTTGTCCTCATCCTCGGAATGTGTGGCTCAGTGGGCTACTCCTATGGGAGAAGAGAGAAGTCCCATGAGGCTGCTGGAGCTGGGCCCCTAGGACAGGGTGAGCTGGGGTATATTTAGCAAGGGATATGCAGCCTTCAGGGAGAGCACCCTTCCCGGCTGGAGAGTCATTGATCCTATTGGAGAGAGTCGGGAGAGGAGTTCCCATAGCCTGTGGAATCTGATATTATTATTAATATATGGAGATATCCTATCTCCTAGAACTGGAAGGGACCCTGAAAGGTCATCGAGTCCAGCCCCCTGCCTTCACTAGCAGGACCAAGTACTGATTTTGCCCCAGATCCCTAAGTGGCCCCCTCAAGGATTGAACTCTCAACCCTGGGTTTAGCAGGCCAATGCTCAAACCACTGAGCTATCTCCCCCCCCCCCCCTAATGGCACATACACTGTGTGGGCTTGGGTGGACCAACAGGGACATCTACCGGCCATCTGGTGTAATCCTAGCTTTGGGTTACCTGGGAATCCCTGCACTTCCACTTCTCTGGAAACACAGTTCTCTAGATGCTGAGCGGCTGCTCTCAAGTGGCGCTGGGGTGGGCGCTCTGTGCCCTTGACCACCGGGTGCAGGACGTGAACAGTGCACTGTTCCCTAGGCCTTGTGCTGAGATTAATGAGCTCATTAGTTTTCCATTCTGTTCAGAGGCATTAAAACTAGGGCTGTCAAGAGATTAAACAGATTAATTTTTTTGATTGTGTGTCACTTATTTACATATTTTTGGATGTTTTCTATGTTTTCAAATGTAGTTATTTCAAGTACAATACAAAGTGTACAGTATTCACTTTATATTTTTATTACTCTCATTTTTTACAGTGCAAATATTTGTATTTTTCAATTCACCTACTACAAGTACTGTAGAGCAATTTCTTTATCATGCAAGTTGAAGTTACAAATGTAGGCTCTAAAGCTTTACATTGTTTTATTTTTGAATGCAGAATTTATTTGTACATAATTCTAAAAGTCCAATCAATCCTCCTTATTCAGTCAATCACTCAGACAAACAAGTTTGTTTACATTTGTGGAAGATAATGCGGACTACTTGTTTACAATGTCATCTGAAAGTGAGAACAGGCGTTTGCATGGCACTCTTGTAGCTGGTGTCACAAGATATTTACATGCCAGATGTGCTAAAGATTCACATGCCCCTTCATGCTTCAACCACCATTCCAAGGGACATGTGTCCATGCTGATAACAGGTTCTGCTCAATAACAATCCAAAGCAGTGCTGACTGATGCATAGTCATTTTTCATCCTCAGCGTCAGATGCCACCAGCAGGTTTTGTAGTTTCCACATTGGAGTGTTGCTCTTTTCAGACTTCTGAAAGCATTCTCCACACCTCGTCCCCCTCAGATTTTTGGAAGGCACTTCAGATTCTTAAATCTTGGGTCTAGTGCTGTAGCTATCTTTAAAAATTTCACATTGGTATCTTCTTTGCATTTTGTCAAATTTGCAGTGCAAGTGTTCTTAAAACAAACGT